TCTCATACATCCTATAATTTCCGTTGTTCAACTAAACATTCTGACTTACTTTGTCTTATAAACTGATCATCGATATGGACCCATTCCTAAACTCTTCTTATCAATCCTCAGTTTTACTCAAATATACAAATCCTTATTCCCTTTACTATACCACAGTACTATGATCCAAATATACAATTGTATCCAGATCCATTTCATATTTGGTTGTCTTATCATGACAACATCTCAAAATATTAAATTCTATACTTTTTTCATCACATAATCTGGTTAGCCAACACTAACTCTTTCCATCCAAAATACAAACCCTTATTTTATCCACATTCTTGTTAATACAAAGTACTATTCCTTTATTTCAAACTCATCAACTCTGACTGTATATATCTTATACGCTTGTCACTGATGCACTTATTCTTGAACTCTCCACAAATTCTAACCACATCCTTAAATCTTTTAACGTCCTTATGGTGACACTTGCTCACCATGTTCTATCTTATTCACTTTATAAAAAAACTTCTCCGTATCACTTTTTTGATTCGAAACAGTGAGAACCTTTTATAACTATTCGAATATGATTTCAATTTCTGAAATCAACCTTTAATCTTATAAGACACTTTCTGAGGTTTCTGCTCTTCATCCTGCCTGGCCAAGGCAGGTGAATTGCTATCACCATCAGATTTGTCAGTTATCGATTCACTTTGTCATTTCTTATAATCACATTTCTATTGTATTCTATTAAACTTATTCTATCAGCAAGACAATATATTCCTTACAATTTCATATCATAAATTTTTTTCTATTTTGTTGGCATGTATACATTATACGACACTCTAGACTCCGGTTTATGCCGAGAATCGACTAAACCGTAGCTCTGATACCATTAAATGTAACACCCCCAACCCGTACCCGACCCGGATACGAGTCTGAGGTGTCACATTGACTTTTCAAACCTTGACTCTTGACAAAATTCAAAGAAAATTTAAAACTTTCATTAAAGTAAAAGCATTTTAGTTACATAATTTGACCACAATAACCAAAATCGATCAGAGCATATTTAACTCAATCAATTAGTACATGCCAACTATATTCAAAATAACAAAAATCATTTAACTCGTCTATTTTCTGATCTGAAAACTTGTAAGGGAGATGCTGACCTGAATTGCTCCTCACAGCTTCTATATTCACTTTTTGTAACCTGCGTGTAAAACACTCACACGCTAAGTCGATGACTTAGTGAGGCATAAAGAAAACACATCTAATGGAATTCATACCCACTAATCATGCATGACTGTTTTATGCTATCAAATTATACAACTCATTTACATATACATCAACATATATTCATGTATATTATGTAACAGATACCATAACCCCTATCACACATATATCATATCATGCAATTCATATCACACATCATATACATATATCACATACATTGTTCTTATATCACCAACATGTTTATCCTTACTAATTCCCTTGTCATTACTTCAATTCCGTCATATGAGCATATAATGAATATAAGCATATTATATATATATTAATATGCCACAATACATTACTAATTTCTATAATCATATAATACATAAACGCATAGCATCTCATATCACCATGACATATATGCACTTCTACCATGTCACGAGAAATACACATATCATTATATCAAATTATGTTCTCTTTTCAAAGCCCATGTACACATGTGAGAACTATAGATATGTGAGTCTATATAGGTTGTGCACTATGTTGTCACCACAGCTCGTCTAATTGCACCGAAGTACCACGTAGAATTGCACCAGAGTGCCGCGTAGAATTGTACCGTAGTGCCATATAATAATGTCCATAAGGACCACATATCATTCCTTAAGAATCATATACATATACTAGGGATCAAGTATGTGTCTCACCATACTTCACACATGTTCCAAAGAATACATATATCTCCCGAATGACCACATATCATTCCTTAAGAATTATATACATATGCCATGGATCAAGTATGTGTCTCACCAGACTTCACACATGTTCCAAAAAATACATATATGTCCCGAAGGACCGCGTAGACCCTCGACTCTTGGCATGCCAACTATACCCCTAGCTCTCATGACACATAACATGGGCATTAATATTTATGTTAACATACATTCACATATACACATAGTCATGTAGTTCTTTCACATAGCTCATCGTCATAGAAATCACATATCCCATATACATATAAACACATGGTTCACTTACGCGTAGAACATTTTCATATAATCGCATAGTCATATAATATTTCATATAACATATATTTTCTCTTTCATATATCTCATATCATGTATCATATCTTGTGATCATATAATCATGTTACTTATAATCACATAACTTCTACTCATAGGGTTCAACATCATTAAACTTAGTTCACTTTTTCATATTATCATACATTTATATACTCTTATATGTCCTATCAATAACCTATAAACTTACTCATATTCTTCTCATATATACTATTTTAATATAATTTGTATAGTAATATTCTATAACTGTATCATATAATGATTTTGCCCAAGTACTCCTTTATAAAGTTTATATTACAGGTTTAATTAGTATCATTCTATCCTATAAATAATTTCCACTTATTTTATATCATTTTCCCTTTTCACTCACATAAATCATCTATTTATTTAGTTCAATTTCTCATGACTTCCACAATACTCTTTAATAAAACTTTGTAGTTCTTCACTCTAATACATAAACCATAGTTTCCTTTAATTTATCAATATTCCCTATATAACTTATGTATCCTTATTTATGCCCTCGAATTTATACTATTCTCTTAGAGTCTCCTAAAATTTCTCGTATAATCACTTATACCATATCATATGACTTATACTTGATTATCTTATTCTCTCATGTTCATTTCATTTCTTATGACTCTATCATATAACTTATTCCATGTTCTTCCATTATTACATAATAAAGTTTTACATAAACCATATAACATATACAAAGCATATCATTATCTTTAGTCATGCATACATACAATCAATGTAATACATATAATCACATATAGTTATAACCAACACATAATCATGTCTATGACTTCATGCATATTACTCTAGGAAATAGACTCATCGCAAGTCTTATTTCCATTAAACACTACATGTCACTAGTATGCACTCACCTTTGCCTCACTAGTCAATTCCAATCTCTTATTTTTCCATTGAACGATCTTACTTGCCAAATGTTCCGGAATTGCTTTACGCGCAGAATCTACATAAATGTACATTTTAAGGCAATCATTAGATACCTACACCTTGTAATTGGATACTAGCGACTTAAACGAACTTATTAAACTCATATTCACAATTTTCCTTTAGGGTGGAATCGGTTCCCTCCTGTGGGAGTATCGGTTCCCCCTTGACATTCTGTAAATTCTGGTTCGTTTGAGGGGGTATCGGTTCCCCTTGAATGGGTACCGATTCCCCTTGCCCAGAAATCACATTTTGAGCTCGAAAATCACTTCATTTTCAGCTCAACACTTCATACTTCACTCCCTTTAATATTCCTAACTTTTATACACATACTTAAACCAATAAATTTTCATTCAATATCTCTTCAACTTAAAAATTCACTCTTCCACATAGCATTCAAGAATCATACCAATTTTTCCATGTTATCCAAAATTAATTCTAACACTTATAACTTCTTACTCTTCCATATGACAAGTCAAATTCAACTTCAAAATCTATTAACTCCTTATATTTCACTAATTCACTTAAAAACTCTTCATATTTAATCATTCATAACTCATCCATTTTGAAGTTTCAACCTACTTTAATCTCTAAATAATCTTTCTTAGCACCCCAAGAATCAAAACTAAGCTTAAAACTCAAGAATTAACCAACTGAAATTAAACTTACCTTTGCCATGGAGCTTACGGGAAGAGAGGAGGAATGAGATAACCCAAGCTCCAGATCTTTCTTTTCTTCTCACCCTTTCCACGTTTTCATAACCTTAAAAGAAAGATAAAAATCTTTCTGGTTAAATGATCATTTTACCCTTTATTTCCTTTAATAATTACTAAATAATCTTCATCATATATTTCCAATAATCATTGAATTATTTCATTCTTCTACTTTAGTCACCAAATTCTAAAACTTTTCAATTTAGTCACTAACCCGGTATTGCGGATGTTACAATAAAAATATGAATAGATTTGACTACATCGATATTAATATATATAATTTTTATTAGGTAAAATATATATCTAATTAAAATAATATTTAAAAAGAAATATTATAGCAAATATGTCTAAAAATATAAAATCAATTATACTATTTTTTATGATTAAATTAAGTTAAATTAAAAATTTTAAGCATAAAATGAACTCGAACTAAATTCAATTTTTTTATTAAGAAAAATTAGCCTTATCAAATCGAGGTTAGATCAAATGTACATCCTTAAATATAAGAGCAAAGCCTCCTTTTCAATGTTACATACGTATTATAATGCCATATTTTCTTCCACTTCATCCATGTAAACGAACTTAAAAAAAATTAAAAGAAGAGAGGAGAAAATATATATAATACAAATATAGAGAAGCATATGTTTAATAAAAACATAAATTTTAAATTATTTTTAATTTTAGGAGTGTAAGATAATATTTTAAAATATTTTTTTGGTATACAAATATGTAAACTATCAAAATCTATTCTAATGTTATCAAAATTTTGTCAGAACATAGTACAGTCATATAGATGAAAAAGAAGACAAAAGTAAGATGATCCACACATACGGTGTCGGCATCGACTTGGACTACATCTTGTTCGTATAAACGACTAGTTGGGATGAATGGTGAACATTAACTTGTGGATATGCACAGTAAACTATGCAATTTAAACGCAGTAAAATGAACAGAGCAGTGTAATTGGTAGATAAGAATGAAGAACAACAAGAATGTCGGCCAAACGTCAAATATTTAACGACAAAATAGATGACATAAGATGAACATTGGAAACTAACAGGTCCCATGGAGGCATCACGCCGGACAAAACCTGAAGTCCATTTTTAATGGCTTTCTTATCCTGCTGAAACACGGGTCAATATCAAATCATCTTCTCCTCTATAAATCCGTTTTTTGGACTTATGCAAATAGCAACAACAACTTCAAGGAGATTAAGATTACCATGGTGTTCGACTCAGTCTCAGCAGCTGACAAGATTGCTCATAATCAAGACCTTTTGACTCTAATCCTCCTCGGGTTACCCACCAAATCTCTCATCAAGTTCAAGTGCGTTTCAAGGCAGTGGCGGTTCATCATTTCCGACCCCGACTTCTGTTTATCCCACACCCGCCGTCACCACCGCCATGGGTTCCTCTCCCCCACCGCTCTCCTCCTCAAAGGTGAACGTTTCACCCCTCCCTCTGAGTTCTCCATTGTCCCTTTGAAGCATTACAGTAAAGTCCCTTTCTTTCATTACATCAACGACTCCGATGTCAAGATTCTCCAATCTTGCAACGGATTGCTTATCTGTGAATCGTATAGAAGGAGTTTCTTGATCTGCAATCCAACGACCAAATCATTCAGGAAGATTTACTGTCCTAGTAACTCGTGTTATAATTTCCTTTCCAGATTTTGTGTTAGTTTAGCTTTTGACCCTCTAAGATCACCTAATTACAAGATCATCTGTGTGTGGGAAAGTTACAGGGAACCCTGTAAGCTCAATCTGGATTTATATTCATCAAAGACCGGATCTTGGGATTTATCCGTAATCAGTTTCGAGGTAGACGAAGAAGAGCCCATAGAGTTAAACCATGGGGTTTTCTGTAATGGAAGGATTCATTGGTGCGGATACGGAAGCGAATCATTGTTTTTCGATGTGGAGAATGAATGTTTAGAAACAATGCCGATGGCGTTGCCGGTTCAGATGGACGCGCTGGAGGAATGTCGATATTTCGGGGAGTCTAGAGGAGTCCTGTATCTCACGGTGACTTATTGTATGCCGGTTTGTTTAGAGATGGATATCTTCGAGATGGCAAGAGATTATTCTCAGTGGATTTGGAAGAAACGTGTGGATCTGGGGGATGCGGTGAGAGTTTTCCCGGAGTTGGAATTAGGATGCGTGGAGTACGGTCCTGGATTCTCCGGCGTTTGTGTGATTGGATCCGAGGAAGAAGATGAGCCGATGGTGGTGGTTTGGGCCGATGGGAAAATAGTTTGCTTTGATTTAAGGCAAGGGGCGTGGAAAATGGTTTACGATCTCGGGCCGGGTATCAAAATTGGGTCGCTGTATCTTGGAGAAGATGATCATCTACACCACGAACGATTCCATGCTTATCAATACTTCGAGAACCTCTCTTGTTTATGACTTTTTGGTTATACCAAAACCAAACATTTGCGTACAAACTAAAGCAACTGTGACATAAGTGTCCTTCGTACATTTGTGTAGAATTGTAAATATATATAAATTTTAATGAAAATCTGCTGTCGTTAATTATAAAATCAAATTAATAAATAATCAAAATGAATCACTCACCCTACATAAAAAAAATCCTTTTGTCCAGCACCACAACAAACTTATGTGGTAATGATACGTCTAAAATGGTATGAATAACTGTTAAATTTGCTAAACAATTCTGTATAATACCTATGAATAGGAATATTACAAATATATATATACAACTTCTTATCTAACTAACTAATTGATAATTAGTTACAACTGAATAACAGAAATAACAAACTTAGCTTCTTAACACTCCCCCTCAAGTTGGTGGGTAGAAGATATCCTTTACTCCAAATTTGGATACAAGATATTTATGTTGTTGTATTCCTAATGCTTTGGTTAAAATATCTGCTAACTATTCTGAAGAAGAAACAAACTCTGTCTTGATAAGTTCTTCTTGTATCTTCTCCCTTATAAAGTGACAGTCGATCTCTATGTGTTTTGTGCGCTTATGATAAACTGGATTTGCTGCAATCTGAAGGGCAGCCTTGTTATCACAATATAACTTGATTGGATTATTTATTTCTAATCCAAGCTCTCTGGCTAAACCATTCAACCATGTCAATTATGTTGTTGTAACAGCCATGCTTCTATATTCTGCTTCAGCAGATGATCTGGCTATGACATTCTGCTTCTTAGACTTCCATGAAATCAATGAATTTCCAAGCTTAATGCAAAAACCAGAAACAAACCTTCTTGAAATAGGACATGCAACCCAATCTGAATCACAATATGCCTTGAGTTCACAACTGCTGTCTGAGTCCATCATTATCCCTTGTCCAGGATTTCCTTTTATATACCTCACTATCCTCAATGCATAATGTAAATGAGACTCCTTAGGTTGTTGTATAAACTGACTCAAGTAGTGCACAGCAAAAGTTATATCAGGTCTGGTATGTGTGAGGTAAATAAGTCTCCCAATAAGCCTCTGATAGATACTCTTGTCTACTAATAGCTCATCGTTTTCATTACTTCCCTTTGTGCACAGCTCATCATACTCTATTGTAGTAAGCCTAACATTTTGCTCAAGAGGAGTTCTTGCAGGCTTTGAACCACTCATTCCTGATTCCTCAATCAATTCAAGAGCATATTTGCGCTGATTAATTAAGATTCCTTCTTTTGACCTCATAATCTCAAGCCCCAAAAAATACTTCAACTCACCAAGATCCTTCATCTTAAATTTTTTGTTCAAATGAATCTTCAAATAATTAATTAAACAACTATCATTGCCAGTAATAAACAAGTCATCAACATAAATCAACAAAACTACAATCTTCTTATCCTTCCTCATTGTGAACAAAGAATAATCAAATTTACTCTGTTCATAACCAGCCCCTAAAAGAGCCTCAGTCAACTTTAAATTCCATTGCCTAGATGCTTGTTTCAAGCCATAAAGAGATTTTTGCAGTCTACACACCATATTCTCCCCCTGACTGCAAAAACCAAGAGGAAGTTCCATATATACTTCCTCAGACAAATCACCTTGTAAAAAAGCATTGTAGACATCAAGCTGGAACAGAGGCCAATCAAACACAGAAGCAATGGTAAGAAGAAAACGGACAGTAACCAATTTAACTACTGGAGAGAAAGTATCCACATAATCCACACCCTCTTTTTGACTATATCCCTTGGCCACCAAACGAGCTTTATATCTTTCTATAGCACCAGCAACATTGTACTTAATCCGATAAACCCATTTACAACCAATGGGAACTTTTCTAGGAGGCAAAGAAACAACTGACCAGGTTTTATTTGTTTCAAGAGCAAGAATTTCATCCTTCATGGCCTGTACCCATTCAGGATGTTGAACGGCCTCATGGTAAGACTTAGGTTCAACAGATTTCGAAATAGAAGAAACAAAAGATTGTGTACCACAAGAAAGATGACTGTAAGAAATAAAATCTAAAATGGGATAATTGGAGGTGGAAACATAATTGCAAATAAAATCAGTTAACTATTGAGGTTGCTTAGGAACCCTAGTAGATTTTCTAACCAAGACTGGAGCTACTGGAACTATAGAAGTTTCTAACTGTTGTGATGATTGCCCAAGTTCAATATTAGAAGGAAAAACAGGTGGGACATCAGGAACAAGTTGCTGACCAAAAGAAATGTTTAAAAACTCAGAATTAGGAATATAAGGAGTAGAAGGAAAGAAAGAACTTGTTTGAACAGGAAAGTGAAAAGGAAACACTTGTTCATGAAAAATAACATCCCTATTTACAAAAAAATTCTTAGAGATAAGATCAAATAAGAGATAACCTTTTTGAGTGTTAGAATAACCCATGAAAACAGAAGGGAAGGCTCGAGGGGCAAATTTGTCAGTTGGTTTAGGATCAGTAGCATAACACATACAACCAAAAACTTTCAGAACAGACATATCAGGTATTTTATGATAAAGAAGTTCGTAAGGAGTTTTCCATTGTAAAACAGAGGAAGGAAGTCTGTTTATAATGAAGCAAGCTGTTAATACACATTCACCCCAGAATTTAATAGGAACTTTTGACTGAAAACGTAAAGCCCTAGCTACCTCTAAGAGATGTCTATGTTTTCTTTCTGCAACTCCGTTTTGCTGTGGAGTATGAACACAGGAACTTTGGTGCAAAATGCCAAGAGAAGAGAAAAAAGGAGAACAATGAGAATTAAAAAATTTTGTACCATTGTCACTTCTAATAATTTTAGTGACAGAAGAAAATTGAGTGGAAGTAAATGAAAGAAACTGTTTAAGAAACACGACAGCATCATTTTTAACCCTCAAGAGATAAACCCAAGTCATTCTTGTACAATCATCAACAATATTTAAGAAATACCTACGACCACTATGAGTGGATATTCTATAAGGACCCCATAGATCTATATGAATTAGTTCAAAGGGTGTTGAGGATCGAGTAGAACTAAGAGGAAACGACAACCTAGTTTGTTTTGCTAAAGGACAAACATTGCAAGTGGGAACAGAATTAACAATAAACTTATCAGAAACATAAGAGGAAAGCTTTCTCATAGCAGAAAAAGAGGCATGCCCAAATCTAGCATGCCAAAGACTAGTTTTATTAGAAACAGAAATATCATGTATAGAATGAACACAAGAAACATCCCCAGTACTAGCCAAAGAATTTGAAACCAAACCAGTAGCTCCTTTAGACTCAAAAATGTAAAATCCATTACACCTTCTACCAATCCCCTTGATCATGCCATTGCAAAGATCCTGCAAGATACAAATGTCAGGATAAAAGGAAATGACACAAGCATGATCTTTAGCAAGCCGAGAGACAAAAATCAGATTATGAGAAAAAGTGGGAACAAACAGGACATTGGAAAGAACTAGTTCAGAATTTAACCTATGAGACCATGTATGAGTTACAATTTCAGTATGACCATTAGGTAGATGAACAAAACGATGTGCAGGACATAAAACAGGAAATTGCAAGCTCTTGAAAACAGACAAAATGTGATCAGTGGCACCAGTATTTATTATCCAACGAACACAAAAGTTACTGGAAGCAGGTAAATTACGATCAACATTACCTACAAGATTCGCACTGGAATCTAAGGTTGAACTTTTGCTCAGCAAACCCAAGATTTGACGATACTGCTCAGATGTGAAAGAAGGCACTGCTGAGACAGCAGGAGAAACCATTGAGCCATTCTCAGCTTCTCCATCAACGGCAGGCATAGAGTTAACTGCCACGTCAGCCTGAGAAATCTTTTTTCGGTTGAATTTAAAGTCTGGTGGAAAGCCAATAAGTCTGTAGCAACGATCACGATTGTGGCCCTTGATTTTACAGTAATCGCACGTTCCACTAAAACGTCTTTTTTCACTACCTTTGGAAGCGGTTGTGAACATCACAGAGGCTTCAATGGGCGAGGCAGACAATTGAGCTCGATGCAACTCCTCCTGAACAATCATGGAGTATGCCTGATTTACAGTAGGCAAGGGCTTCATAATGAGAAGTTGGATTCGAATTGCAGAATAAGTTTCATTGAGTCCCATCAGAAACTGGAACAACCGTTGTTGAGCCATGTGAATCGAATTCTGCTGAGCAGCCTCGCAGTCACAAAAGGAGAAGGGAACAAGTGCCGTGTACTCGTCCCACAAAAGTTTGAGACGAGTGAAATAGGCGGAGACAGAAGAGTCACCTTGTACAAGAGTTGCAATCGAGCGATGTAGGAAAAAAACCCTAGATCCATCAATTTTATCGAATCGCTCTTTGAGATCTTTCCAGACGGCTTCGACATTCGAAGCAAACACTATGCCAACAGATAGATCTTGGCTAACAGAGTTCAAGTTCCACGAGAGCACGAGAGCATTACAGCGCTCCCATTGAGACTGCAGCAGTCCTTCATAATCATCCATTCGACAGCTTCCATCGACGAAACCAAGCTTGTTCTTGGCTAGAAGCGCGATGCGCATGGATCTGCTCCACAAACTGTAATTCGCGACACCGGTGAGCTGTTGTGACACCAACTGAACGCCCGGCGTATCTGAAGGATGCAGAAAGAGGGGGTGATTCGGATCAACCGTGATGGCCATGAACCCTAAGAGAACAATTTGGGGAGAAAGCAGAAAACTAAACTGGACACAAAGAGGAAACGAGAACTGCTGCTAAAATAAACGGGCCACAAAGTTTTAGCGAGGTATGGGCCAAACAGGAAACCCAAGTGAAGAAACCCAAACTGATACCATGTTAAATTTGCTAAACAATTATGTATAATACCTCGTATATTATGAATAGGAATATTACAAATATATATATATACAACTTCTAATCTAACTAACTAACTGATAATTAGTTACAATAAATAACAAACTTAGCTTCTTAACAATAACCTTTAAAAATAAGATCAAAGTCTCCAACCCTTGCTCATTCAAACATGAGCT